TCACAAAGGACGACCACCTCACCCGCCTCATGGGAAACCTGCTACAAAACAGGAGCTTCTTTGTTGAGTTCCAGGGCCAGAGAAGCAGATGTCAGAGACAAAAGAATGGCCTGCCTCAGGGGAGCGTGCTTACTCCATCCATGTTCAACATCTACACAAATGACCAGCCACTGCCAGAAGGGACAGAGAATTTCATTTATGCTGATGATCGTGCCATTACCACTCAAGCAGGGAGATTTGAGATGGTTGAACAGAAGCTTTCCGAAGCTCTAGGTGCTCTTACTGCCTATTACAGGGAAAACCAGCTGATCCCTAATCCATCTAAAACACAGACATGTGCCTTTCACCTTAAGAACAGACAAACATCCCGAGCTCTGAGGATTATTACCTGGGAAGGAATCCCACTTGAGCATTGCAACACACCCAAATACCTGGGAGTCACTCTGGACCGTGCTCTTACCTACAAGAAGCATTGCCTGAACATCAAGCAAAAAGTGGGCGGTAGAAACAATATCATACGAAAGCTGACAGGCACAACCTGGGGATCACAACCAGACACAGTGAAGACATCTGCCCTTGCGCTATGCTCCTCTGCTGCTGAGTACGCATGCCCAGTGTGGAACACATCTCACCACGCTAAAACAGTGGATGTGGCTCTTAATGAGATATGCCGCATTATCACGGGGTGTCTGCGCCCTACACCACTGGAGAAATTACACTGCTTAGCCGGTATTGCACCACCTGACATCCGCCGGGAAGTAGCAGCCAATAGTGAAAGGACCAAGGCAGAGACATCTCCAGCTCATCCCCTGTTTGGGTATCAGCCAGCACGTCAACGACTTAAATCAAGACATAGTTTTCTAAGATCTACAGAGACACTCGCTGGAACACCTCAGCAAGCGAGAGTCCAAAAGTGGCAGGCTCAAACCCAGAACCTCAACCATGGCTGATACCAAATGAGAGACTCCCCCCTGGGCACACAGAAGACTGGGCGACTTGGAAGGCGCTGAACAGACTGCGCTCTGGCACCACGAGATGCAGAGCCAATCTCAAGAAATGGGGCCACAAAGTGGAATCCACGACATGCAAGTGTGGAGAAGAGCAAACCACTGACCACCTGCTGCAACGCACCCTGAGCCCTGCCACATGCACCAGGGAGGACCTTCTTGCGGCAACACCAGAGGCACTCCAAGTGGCCAGATACTTTGTGTTTTGTCTGTTTGTTTGTTTGTTTTGTTAAAAATGTAATACAAATGTCTGGTTGCTCCTGACATGGTAAATAAAATCAGATTGGAAGGGGAGGGAAGAGCGGGGGGGGGGGGGGGCCTAAGGGAAAGGATAAGCCCAGTATGAGACCCACAGAAAATACTGGAGGGGGTTGGTGGGGAGAAAAGGGACAGGAGAGGGTTTTCCTTAGGGAGGGAAGAGGCATGGCGTAGCAGCTCTTCTGCAGGCTAAACATGTCCAGCTCTTTAAGCCACTCCTCATAGGGCTTGTTCTCCATACCCTTGATCATTTGAGTTGCCCTCTTCCTCTGGACACATTCCATCTTATCAACATCTCACTTAAATTGCAGTGATCAGAATTGGAAGGGGAGGGAAGACCAGGGTTGGGTTTTTTTTGTTCCCAGCTCTTTAAGCCGCTCCTCATAGGGCTTGTTCTCCAGACCCTTGATCATTTGAGTTGCCCTCTTCCTCTGGACACATTCCAGGTTGTCAACATCTCCCTTAAATTGCAGTGACCAGAATTGGAAGGGGAGGGAAGAGTAGGGGTTTGGGAAGGGGGGAGGTTACTAGCTCTTTAAGCCGCTCCTCCTGGGAGGGAAGACCAGGATTTATTTTTTTAGGGGGGGGGGGGTTAAGGGAAAGGATAAGTCCAGTATGAGGCCCATAATGAAGGAAATAAAAGGAACAAGAGCGGGGTTTTCATTAGGGAGGGAAGAAGCATGGCGTAGCAGCTCTTCTGCAGGCTAAACATGCCCTGCTCTTTAAGCCGCTCCTCATAGGGCTTGTTCTCCAGATCCTTGGTGATTTTAGTCACCCTCCTGCAGTGACCAGAATTGGAAGGGGAGGGAAGAGTAGGTTTTTTTTTGGGGGGGGGGGGTTACTAGCTCTTTAAGCTGCTCCTCATAGGGCTTGTTCTCCAGACCCTTGATCATTTCAGTTGCCCAGCTTGTCAACATCTCCCTTAAATTGCAGGGACCAGAATTGGAAGGGGAGGGAAGAGTAGGGGTTTTTTGGGGGGAGAGGGTTACCAGCTCTTTAAACCGCTCCTCATAGGGCTTGTTCTCCAGATCCTTGGTCATTTTAGTCGCCCTCCTGCAGTGACCAGAATTGGAAGGGGAGGGAAGAGTAGGGTTTTTTTTTTGGAGGGGGGGGGGGGTTACTAGCTCTTTAAGCTGCTCCTCATAGGGCTTGTTCTCCAGACCCTTGATCATTTCAGTTGCCCAGCTTGTCAACATCTCCCTTAAATTGCAGGGACCAGAATTGGAAGGGGAGGGAAGAGTAGGGGTTTTTTGGGGGGAGAGGGTTACCAGCTCTTTAAACCGCTCCTCATAGGGCTTGTTCTCCAGATCCTTGGTCATTTTAGTCGCCCTCCTGCAGTGACCAGAACTGGAAGGGGAGGAAAGATTAGGGGTCTTTTGGGGGGGGGGGGAGTTGCCAGCTCTTTAAGCCGCTCCTCATAGGGCTTGTTCTCCAGATCCTTGATCATTTCAGTCGCTCAGCTTGTCAACATCTCCCTTAAATTGCAGTAATCAGAATTGGAAGGGGAGGGAAGAATAGGGTTTTGAGAAGGGGAGAGGTTACTAGCTCTTTAAGCCGCTCCTCATAAGGCTTCTTCTCCAGACCCTTGATCATTAGATTCAACATCTCCCTTCAATGACAGTGACTAGAATTGGGAGGGGAGGAAAAAGCAGGGGTTTCGGGGGGGGGGGGGGGAAGAGGATAAGCCCAGTATGAGGCCCATAATGAAGGGGATAAAAGGAACGAGAGGGGTTTTCATTAGGGAGGGAAGAAGAATGGTGTAGCAGCTCTTCTTCAGGCTAAACATGCCCAGCTCTTTAAGCAGCTCCTCATAGGGCTTGTTCTCCAGACCTTTGATCATTTCAGTCGCTCAGCTTGTCAACATCTCCCTTAAATTGCAGTGATCAGAATTGGAAGGGGAGGGAAGAATAGGGTTTTGAGAAGGGGAGAGGTTACTAGCTCTTTAAGCCGCTCCTCATAAGGCTTCTTCTCCAGACCTTTGAGTCGCCGTCCTCTTGAATGGAAGGAATAAAAGGAACGAGAGGGGTTTTCATTAGGGAGGGAAGAGGCATGACGTAGCAGCTCTTCTGCAGGCTAAACATGCCCAGCTCTTTAAGCCGCTCCTCATAAGGCTTGTTCTCCAGACCTTTGAGTTGCCATCCTCTTGAATGGAAGGGATAAAAGGAACGAGAGGGGTTTTCATTAGGGAGGGAAGAGGCATGGCGTAGCAGATCTTCTGCAGGCTAAACATGCCCAGCTCTTTAAGCCGCTCCTCATAAGGCTTGTTCTCCAGACCTTTGAGTCGCCATCCTCTTGAATAGAAGGGATAAAAGGAACGAGAGGGGTTTTCAATAGGGAGGGAAGAGGCATGATGTAGCAGCTCTTCTGCAGGCTAAACATGCCCAGCTCCTTAAGCCGCTCTTCATAGGGCTTGTTCTCCAGCCCCTTGATCATTTTAGTCACCCTCTTCTGGACACATTCCAGCTTGTCAACATCTCCCTTGGAAGGGGAAGGAAGAGTAGGGGTTTGGGAAGGGGGGAGGTTACTAACTCTTTAGGCCGCTCCTCATAGGGCTTGTTCTCCAGACCTTTGATCATTTCAGTCGCTCAGCTTGTCAACATCTCCCTTAAATTGCAGTAATCAGAATTGGAAAGGGAGGGAAGAGTAGGGGTTTGGGAAGCGGGGAGGTTACTAGCTTTTTAAGCCGCTCCTCCTGGAAGGAAAGACCAGGGTTTTGTTTTTGTTTTCTTTGGGGGCGGGGGGGGGGGGGGTTAAGGGAAAGGATAAGTCCAGTATGAAGCCCATAATGGAGGGAATAAAAGGAACAAGAGAGGGCTTTCCTTAGGGAGGGAAGAAGCATGGCGTAGCAGCTCTTCTGTAGGCTAAACATGCCCAGCTCTTTAAGCCGCTCCTCATAGGACTTGTTCTCCAGACCCTTGATCATTTCAGTCGCTCAGCTTGTCAACATCTCCCTTGGAAGGGGAGGGAAGAGTAGGGTTTTGGGAAGGGGGGAGGTTACTAGCTCTTTAGGCCGCTCCTCATAGGGCTTGTTCTCCAAACCTTTGATCATTTCAGTCGCTCAGCTTGTCAGCATCTCCCTTGGAAGGGGAGGGAAGACGGGGGGGGGGGGGAGAGGTTATTAACTCTTTAGGCCGCTCCTCATAGGGCTTGTTCTCCAAACCTTTGATCATTTCAGTAGCTCAGCTTGTCAACATCTCCCTTGGAAGGGGAGGGAAGAGTAGGGTTTTGGGAAGGGGGGAAGGTTACTAACTCTTTAAGCCGCTCCTCATAGGGCTTGTTCTCCAGATCCTTGGTCATTTTAGTCACCCTCCTGCAGTGACCAGAAGTGGAAGGGGAGGGAAGAGTAAGGGTTTTGGGAAGGGGGGAGGTTACTAGCTCTTTAGGCCGCTCCTCATAGGGCTTGTTCTCCAGACCTTTGATCATTCCAGTCGCTCAGCTTGTCAACATCTCCCTTGGAAGGGGAGGGAAGAGTAGGGGTTTGGGACGGGGGGGAGGTTATTAACTCTTTAGGCCGCTCCTCATAGGGCTTGTTCTCCAGCCCCTTGATCATTTGAGCCGCCACGTTCCAGCAGCGTTTCAGAACCACAGTTTGGGGAAAGCAAGCAAGAGAGGAAGAGGCAAGAGGGGGCGTGGCTTTGGGGGCGGAGGGGGCGCGGCTGGGTGCGGGAGTCCCCTCCCTCCGCGGCGACGTCACCCTCTGGCCCCGCCCCCCGCCACGTGCGTATAAGAGGCGCTCCTCGCGGCCGGAGCCTCCGTCGTCGGGCTTTTCCTCCGGCTTCGCTTGGCCATGAGTAGCTACGCGCTGGAGCCTTTGGGCGCGCCGTCCTACCGGCGGGTGGCGGAGAGCCGCACCACCTTCACGCGGGCCAGCCTCTCGCCGTCGAGCAGCGGCTTCCGCTCCCAGTCGTGGTCCCGCAGCGCGCCCAGCTCGGCCGCCTCGGTCAGCCTGCGCGGGGGAAGCGGCGGAGGAGGAGGCGGTGGCGGCGGGACGGCGATGCTGATGATGCGGGGCTCGTTCGGCTCGGCGTCGGAGAGCCTGGAGCTGAGCCAGGCGTCGCTCTTCAACGGCGTGGCGTCCTCCCTCGAAGGCGGGAAGCGCTCCAACGAGAAGGAGCAGCTGCAGGGCTTGAACGACCGCTTCGCCGGCTACATCGAGAAGGTGCACTCGCTGGAGCAGCAGAACCAGGCGCTGGAGGCGGAGATCGCGGCGCTGCGGGCGAGGCAGGCCGGGCGCTCCGAGCTGGGCGAGGCCTTCGAGGCGGAGCTGCGGGAGCTGCGGGCGGCGCTGGAGGCCACGGGCCGGCAGAAGGCGGCGCTGGCGCTGGAGGCCGAGCGGCTGGAGGAGGACGTGCAGCGCCTCAAGGAGCGCTTCGAGGACGAGGCGCGGCTCCGCGACGACACCGAGGCGCTCATCCGCGCCCTGCGCCACGACGTGGAGGAGTCCTCGCGCGCCCAGGCCGAGCTGGGCAAGAAGGCGCTGGCGCTGCAGGACGAGGTGGCCTTCCTCCGCGGGAGCCACGAGGAGGAGGTGGCCGAGCTGCTGGCCCAAGCCCAGGCCTCCTCCCGCCTGGCCGCCGCCGAGAGGCACGACGCCTTCCTCCGCAGCGACCTGGCCGCCGCCCTCAAGGAGATCCGCGCCCAGCTCGAGGGACACTCCGGCCACAACCTGGCCCAGGCCGAGGAGTGGTTCCGCGGCCGCTACGCCCAGCTCTCCCAGGCCGCCGAGCAGAACAAGGAGGCCCTCCGCGCCGCCAAGGACGAGATCGCCGAGTACCGGCGCCAGCTCCAGGCCAAGAGCGTCGAGCTGGAGGCCGTGCGCGGCACCAAGGAGTCCCTCGAGAGGCAGATCTGCGACGTCGAGGAGCGCCACGGGCAGGACCTGGGCACCTATCAGGTCAGGCGGGGGAGGGACAGCCTTAGCAAGCCTGGGGTCTTAGCATTATTGGGGAAAGGGGTGGTTGGCCTCAGATTCCCCACAAAGGGTTATGGGGAAGGGGTTGGCCATCCTTAGCGACGTCGAGGAGCGCCACGGGCAGGACCTGGGCACCTATCAGGTCAGGCGGGGGAGGGACAGCCTTAGCAAGCCTGGGGTCTTAGCATTATTGGGGAAAGGGGTGGTTGGCCTCAGATTCCCCACAAAGGGTTATGGGGAAGGGGTTGGCCATCCTTAGCGACGTCGAGGAGCGCCACGGGCAGGACCTGGGCACCTATCAGGTCAGGCGGGGGGCGGGCACACGGGGGAAGGGGCGGGACAGCCTTAGCAAGCCTGGGGTCTTGGGATTATTGGGGAAAGGGGAGGTTGGGCTCAGATTCCCCACAAAAGGTTATGGGCCCAGCAATGCATGTTTCCGCTGCACCACTTGGCTATATATATGGTGGAATCACCCCAGTTGGGGGGGGGGCACAGGGGAAGGGGTTGGCCATCCTTAGCAACATCAAGGAGCGACCTGGGCACCTATCAGGTCAGCCAGGGGGTGGGCACACCGCGGAAGGGTGGGCTTCCACTGTTAGGGGGTATGCTGGACCCATAACCCTTTGTGGGAAAAGGCGAGGTTGGGCTCAGATTACCCTCAAAGGGTTATGGGTCCAGCATGCTTCCACTGCACCAATCCACTATATATATAGTGGAATCACCCCATCTGAGGGGGAGGCAGGGGCACAGGGGAAGGGGTTGGCCATCCTTAGTGACATTGAGGAGTGGCACGGGCAGGACCTGGGCACCTATCAGGTCAGCCGGGGGGTGGGCACATGGGGGAAGGGGCGGCACAGCCTTAGCTAGCCTGGGGTTTTAGGATTATTGGGGAAAGGGGAGGTAGGGCTCAGATTCCCCCCCCCCCCGCACAAAGGGTTATGGGCCCAGCAAGCCATGCTTCCGCTGCGCCACTTGGCTATATCTATGGTGGAATCACCCCAACTGGGGGGGGGGCACAGGGGAAGGGGTTGGCCATCCTTAGCGACATCGAGGACCGGCACGGGCAGGACCTGGGCACCTATCAGGTCAGCCGGGACACGGGGGAAGGGGCGGGACAGCCTTAGCAAGCCTAGGGTCTTAGGATTATTGGGGAAAGGGAAAGTTGAGCTCAGATTCCCCACAAAGGGTTAATGGCCCAGCAAGGCATGCTTCCACTGTGCCACTTGGCTATATATATGGTAGAATCATTCCCCTGTTATGGGGTATGCTGGGCCCATAAACCTTTCTGGGGAAAGGGAAGGTTGGGCTCAGATTCACCACAAAGGGTTATGGGTCCAGCATGCTTCCGCTGTGCCACTTGGCTATATATATGGTAGAATCACCCAAACTGTGGGGGGGGGGGGCACAGGGAAGGGGTTGGCCATCCTTAGCAACATCAGGACTGGGCACTTATCAGGTCAGGTGGGGGGTGGGCACCTAGCAGAAGGGGGGCTTCCCCTGTTATGGGGTATGCTGGGCCCATAACCCTTTCTGGGGAAAGGGGAAGTTGGGCTCAGATTCCCCACAAAGGGTTATGGATCCAGCATGCTTCCACTGCAACACTTGGCTATATATATATGGTGGAATCACCCCAACTGTGGGGGAGGTGGGGGCAGGGCTAAAGGGGAAGGGGCGGGCCATCCTTATCAGGTCTGGGTTGTTAGGATTATTATCATAAATATCCACTGGCGTGAGGACAACACGCCAGGCCCCTTCCTGAATCCAAAACACCTGGAGGAGCAGAGCATGAGACACACTGGCATGAGGACAGCATTGGGGGAAGGGGAGGTTGGGCTCAGATTCCCCAACAAAGGGTTATGGGCCCAGCATTCTTCTGCTGCGCCACTCTGCTATATATCTAGTGGAATCACACCAAATTAAGGTGAGGCAGAGGCGGGGCCACAAGGGAAAGGATGGGCATCCTTAGCAGGCATGGATTGTTAAGATTATGATTATCCAACTTTGTCCATCCAGGTGTTTTGGATTTCAACTCCCACCATTCCTAACAGCCTCAACCCCTCAGTCACTTAAGCTGGGCCCATAACCCTCTGTTGGAGAATCTGAGCCCAACTACCCTTTCACCACCCCCAGTGCTTTCCTCATGCCAGTGTTTCTCAAGTTCTGCTCTGTTTTAGACTTCAACTCCCACCTTTCCTAACAGCCTCAGCCCCCTCCCATTTTCCCTGAGCTGCTTAAACTGGGCTCATAACCCTTTGTTGGGGAATCTGAGCCCAACAACACCTTTCCCACTCCCAAAACTTTCCTCACACCAGTGGTTCTCAAGCTCTGCTCCTTCAGGTGTTTTTGACTTTAACTCCCACCATTCTGAAGCTTAAGCAGCTGAGGGGAGAAAGGAAAGGGCCTGAGGCTGTTAGGGAATGGTGGAAGTTGAAGTCCAAAACACCTGGATGAGCAGAGCTTGAAAAACACTGGCGTGAGGACAAGATTAGGGAAAGGGGTAGCTGGGCTCAGATTCCCCAATATAGCCACTACTATATTTATGGTGGAATCATCCCAACTTAGGGTGAGGTGGGGGGAGAGGCAGGGCATCCAGAGCAGGCCTGGATTGTTATGATTATTATGATTTTATGGTCAAAAAAGCGCATATCAGATGAGGTGGAGTATGGGGCCACAGGGGAACCAAAGGCTCAAGGCAATGGGATCCTGGGGGTTGTAGTTTCACAAGGTCGGTCCCAGCACTTCCAAAGAGTGTTGATGACTCACCAAACTACAGATCCCAGGATCCTATCACTGTGAGCCATGACACCTCAAATAGGGTCAGCCTGCATTAATTCATTTTGCGGGATCTCCTGCCGGAATCAGACAAGGAGGCCCAGAATGTGTTGGATTGCAAGTCCAAAGGAAAGGGAAGGATGATGGTGTTGGTGGGCAATGGGGTGGGGTCTTTAAGCTTGGTTGCTGCCCAACTCCTTTTGCCTTCTGAAGTCTGTTTCCATTCAAGAAAGGAAGGGAAAGACAGAAAAAATGGGCTTCCTGTGTTTCCCCCAAACGCAGAGGGAGATCTCACTTGCAAGCTGCACGGGTCTGAGTGGGTGGCGGAAGCATTTGCTATTCCGAAAATGGCAGTGTGGAATTAGCCGGCAAAGAACACACACACACCCCTCTCCAAAAATGAGAGGAAATGCCTCGGATGACAAAGCATTTCCGGGCTTCTCAAATGGCAACTTTGATGCCTATGAACACAGGAAGAATTAAGGATCAAAAGAAAGGCAGCTTGGACTTCTTTCAGCAAGGTTTTGTTTAGCACTAAAGACATCTGTGTAGAATGAAAAACCAGGTCCAGGTAAGGATTGTGTGGGTCTGGAGCTGACAGACGGGAGCTCACCCCGCTCCCTGGATTCGAACCGCCAACCTTTCGGTCAGTGGTCCTGCCAGCACAAGGGTTTATCCCATTGCACCACTTTCTCTTCTGAACGACATGAAGGCAGCGAAAGGCACTTTTGGGGCCTTCTTTCCATGTGAATCATAGCCTTCAATTTCTAGGCATGTCTCCACAAAGAAAGGGAAGCGTGACTTGCAACTGAAGGTTTGCAGCCCCCAGGAAGGCTTTTCCCTGCAAACGATCGGCATAAGAGCCAGCGATATTAAAGCAAGCTGTGAAAAGGCGACCTGCCAAAAAGTACGCTTCAGAAAGTTCTAGTTCTTTGCGGTTGTCCTGAGTCACTTCTCAGCTCTCCTGGTGCGGTAGGGTGGATGCATTGCAGAATTGGCACTGGAGTCGTGAAGGATAGGGGAAAAAAAGAAGCCACTGCTAAAACAGATTGCAGCAATGCTGTTCTTTCCTGGCATTGTGAATATAGTTGACCCTGAGTGTTTGCTGCGGCTTGGTTCTAGAACCACCTATCACTCTGGATAACAAAATCTGTGGATACTCAGGTCACATTACATACAATAATGCAGTAAATTGATGTCTCCTATAAAATGGTACAACTGAGATTCACTTATATTATGTTATATTATATTATATATAGTTTATACATTCATTCAAAGCATAAATGTTGGAATTTCTGGATGTAGAATCTGTCTATATGGAAAACCGACATTATTGTCTTTTGAATATATATATAACATTATATTATATTATATTATATTATATTATATTATATTAATAATACATTCATTCAATGCATAAATGCTAGAATCTCTGGGTGTGGACTCTGTCGATATGGAGAACTAACATTATTGCCTTTTGGATATATATATATATATATATATATATATATATATAACATTTATATATTCATTCAAGCCATGACTGTTGGAAACTCTGGATGTAGACGCTTATATTATATTATATTATCTATATTATATTTATACATTCATTCAAGCCATGACTGTTGGAAACTCTGGATGTAGACATATTATATTATATTATATATTGTTTATACATTCATTCAAAGCATGAATGGTAGATTTTCTGGATGTAGACTCCGTCGATATGGAGACCAACATTATTGCCTTTGTTGTTTTATATATATATATATATATATATATATATATATATATATAGTTTTTGTAATATATATATTATATACATATATTTATACATAATTTATACATTCATACAAGGCATGAATGGTGGAATCTCTGGATGTAGACTCCGTCGATACGGAGGACCGACATTGCCTTTGTAATATGGATTGAAATATATATATATATATATATATATATATATATATATAATATTTTTATACATTCATTCAAGGCATGAAAGGTAGAATCTCTGGATGTAGACTTCGTCAATACGGAGGACCAACATTGCCTTTGTAATAGATAGATATTTCATATTATTTATAAATTTATTTATATTTATATAATATATATTATATATATTATACGTACACACAGAGACATATTATATATATACATACATACATACATTGAAGGCATGAATGGTAGAATCTCTGGATGTAGACTCTGTCGATATGGAGGACCGACATTGCTTTTGTAATACATAGATAGATAGATATTTTATATTATTTATAAATTTATTTATTTATATAATATATATTATATATATTATATATATATATATATACACACACACACACATATATATACACACACACATATATACATTGAAGGCATGAATGGTGGAATCTCTGGATGTAGACTCCATCAATATGGAGGACTGACATTATTGCCTTTTCTGCAAACTTAAATATGTTCAAGGCAAATCACAACAAAATATGCCATTTCCAATGGAAGCTGTAATCATTATTAGCTGCATTATTTAGCCTGGCATGATGCACAGTTTCTGCAAGACAACATCAACATTTCTGGAGTGCCTTATTTATGGTGATTAGTCATGAGCATTAGTTGCTATCTGTTGTAGTTATCATGATCCTTATCATCATCATTATTACTACAAAGTCATTTCATAAAGAGGTGTTTTTCCCTCCTACAGCGAGAGGAGTCTGGGAGTCGGGATGGAATTCTGCAGGATGAGTCATCACAATATGTAACTCTGCACTGTAGAGAAAGTCCATCCGCTTGCCGGACAGTAATTGCTCTCTTCCCCAACAACAAATAGCTACCATTGCTATAAAATACATGCACTATTTTGCAGCAGTGCCTTTGTGAATGTCCGCAATGCAGAAGGTGTTTTCTGCTGAGCAGGTCTCCAAACAGTGCTGCCGAATGCAAAAGGCAAAGCTTCTCAAGTATTCTCCTATTGGAGATATATAAATACCGTTGAAGGATCTCACCTGCAGTGATGGCACAACCTTGGGGGGACGGGACACACCTTTCCATCCAATTACCTTTGGCAAGGGGAACAATGAGGCCGGCTGAGGCAAAATTGCAACCTCAGGAGAAAGGTCATTCTGCCAAGTGCGCTCCAGAGCTCTGCAATGCAGAACTGGCTGACGGCAGGAGATTATACAGACACGACTCTTCTGAGATTCCTGCTAACCAGGACCTTGCGCACTGCAGAATCCTATTGGGAAGGAAGTACAGAGCAAAACTTCTGGAATTTCAAACAAAGTATGGATTGCACAAAGTTAAAACTATGCCAAAGCTATTATTATTAAATAATAATAAATAATGGTGTTATTTAATAAATAATGATGATGAGGATCAGTATTTAAAAAACTCTAAAATTGCAACAGCACAACAGAGAGGAAGCAGGCAGGGACATCTAATTACCTCTCAACAAAAGTTTGCTCCAGGCACAGTCAGCCCATTGTATGCTAATCAAGGTGGTCAGTTGAAACATTCACACCCAGCTCCAGCAGACAAGAGTCCTTTGTCTCACCCTGGTCATTCCACAGATATATAAACCCTTTTTCCTAGTTCCAACAGACCTCACTACATTGTCGAAGGCTTTCATGGCTGGAATCACCAGGTTTTTGTGGGTTTTTTCAGACTATAGGGCCATGTTCTAGAGGCATTTCTCCTGACGTTTCGCCCGCCCAGCCCTAGAGCCTACCTCTGAGGATGCTTGCCATAGATGCAGGCGAAACGTCAGGAGAAATGCCTCTAGAACATGGCCCTATAGCCCGAAAAAACCCACAAGAACCTAGACCTCACTACCTCTGAGGATGCTTGCCATAGATGCAGGCGAAACGTCAGGAGAGAATGCCTCTACACCATGGCCATACAGCCCGAAAAAACCTACAACAACCCTATGCCAAAGCTGTCCTGCCATGCAAACATGAAGCCCAATTAATTCAACATGACTTCTCAGAAGCAGCCCATTGAATGGCAGGTCCTGCATCAGAAAGAGTAATATGTTTTGTTTGTGCAGATATTTATTCCCTGAGTATTGGTCCTAATGGAAAGTGCTTCTCATAGACAGAAAAAAAGGTTTTTTGAATGCAGTCCTCTATCCTGCGCACGAACCAAATGCAATTGTGAACATACACATATACATACTTACTTACTTAGGTGATCCCTCAATGTCCAAGTAAGATGGTCTTCCAAGGTCAGTGTTCTGGTGCGTCCATAGGTGACTATGGAGATCTGCATCTTCTCCCTCAGTGAGGGCATTGGTTTCCAGGTGGAAAGTGGTCTCAGTTGGGGTTGGCTTGATTCGCCTTCCCCTTGGCACGCTTCTCTCTTTCACCCTCCATTCGTGCATCTTCAAATTCTACAGCACTTCTGGTCACAGCTGACTTCCAGCTGGAGTGCTCACAGGCCAGGGCTTCCCAGTTCTCAGGGTCTATGCCAGCATTTTTAAGGTGGGCTTTGAGCCCGTCTTTAAATCTCTTTTCCTGCCCACCAACATTCAGTTTTCCATTCTTGAGTTCAGAGTAGAGCAACTGTTTTGGGAGACGGTGGTCGGGCAACCAGACAATGTGGCCGGTCTAGCGGAGTTGATGGTGGAGGACCATCGCTTCAATGCTGGTGGTCTTTGTTTCTTCCAGCACGCTGACATTTGTCCACTTGTGTTTCCAAGAGATTTGCAGGATTTTCTGGAGGCAACACTCCTCTGACTATTACTCTTTACATTCCCAGAAAACTTCAAGCAACGGGAGACTAACAAAAAATATTGCATATGCAAACTCATATTGTGCAACTTCTGACTTATGGCAATCAATGGAGTCCAATTAGGGTGGTATCTAACTGGGAGTGGACTGTAAAATGAATTCAAATTGGACTTCACTTAAACTGCTTTGACTCAAGGGTGTGGAACTGTGGGAGCTGTAGTTCTATAAAGTCTTTGACCTTCTCCGCCAAAGAGTGTTGGGCCTTCACTAAACTCCAACTCCCTTGACTCCATAGCATTGAGCCACAGCAGTCAAAGCAGTGTCAATAAAGTAAAAGTAATTTTCCTACTCCAGGACTTCAAGTTCATCTTGTTTGTTTCCCAAACCCTGTTCATTGCTAAACAGACATCTAAAGTGTTATTTGTTCAATGTGTTGTCAAAGGCTTTTATGGCTGGAGCCCCCGGTGGCACAGTGGGTTATAGCACTGCGCTGCTGAGCTTATTGACCAAAAGGTTGCAGGTTTGAATCTAAGGAGCGGTGTGAGCTTCCGCTGTCAGCCACAGCTTCTGCCAACCTAGCAGTTTGAAAACATGCAAAATATGAGTATATCAATAGCTACCGCTCTGGCGGGAAGGTAACGGCACTCTATGCAGTCATGCTGGGCACATGACCTTGGAGCTGTCTATGGACAACACCGGCTCTTCGGCTTAGAAATGGACATGAGCACCACACCCTAGAGTCAGACATGACTGGACTTCATGTCAGGTGAAAACCTAACCATGGCTGGAATCACTGGGCTGCTGTGAGTTTTCCGGCTGTATGGCCATGTTCCAGAAGCATTCTCTCCTGACGTTTCACCCACATCTATGGCAGGCATCCTCCGTGATTGGGAGGTCTGTTGGAAACTAAGCAAGTAGGGTTTATATACCTGTGGAATAATGTCCAGGTGGGAGAAAGGACTCTTGTCTGTTGGAGGCAAGTGTGAATGTTGCCATTGGCCAGCTTGATTAGCATTGAATGGCCTTGCAGCTTCAAAGCCTGGTTGCTTCCTGACTGAGGAAATCACACCCTTTTAGTCATTTTTTGCAATTTGTCCAGTCTCTCTCCAGTCGATATTACTCATTGAAGGCTGTACTCCTTGCTTCTTTCTTTTGACTAATGGACCATCTGTGTCTCATTTGCAGGACACGATCCAGCAACTAGAAAACGAACTGAGAGGAACCAAATGGGAAATGGCTCGCCACTTGAGGGAGTACCAGGACCTCCTCAATGTCAAGATGGCTCTCGACATTGAAATTGCCGCATACAGGTAAAGGGAGATACAGGGCCAGTGTGGTGGGTGTCGGAATTGCAATGCAGATGCCTTTGGTTCCGGCAGCAGCAACTTCCCTTCAGCTCCCAAAACAAAAACAAGCTATCTTTAGAGCCCTGCATGATTTCTCTTGATTTTTTTTGAAAGAAAATCCTCTAGCTTCTTATTGCAAAGAGTAGCATGCTGAATATCTCTGCATGCTTCTGCAGGATTTGACGCATACAGAACTTCTGTATTCAGTTGTCAGAAATGGCACAGCTGGCTACAGCTATATTTGTGTCACCTTTTCAGCTTTACTTTACATTATTTTTGAGCCCCTTCCTTGAAGTTGCACTTCTCTAAGCAATTTGAAAGCCTCAACACACACACACTTACCAAGGAGTGAGTCTTATTGATATGGGAAATAAGAAAGCCACAATATTGTTTGGAAATTGGAATGTCATATTATTCTTTCGTGTATGAAAAGTCTGTGCAAAAATGCACCCAACGAGCCATGCAGTCTTTAAGAAGCACTAACTTTAAAGTTCAAACCAAGCCTTAAAGACTAAGAAAGCAAAATTTTAGACTCCTATATCATTGTTGTTGTTCATTCGTTCAGTCGCCTCCGACTCTTCGTGACCTCATGGACCAGCCCACACCAGAGCTCCCTGTCGGCCGTCACCACCCCCAGCTCCTTCAAGTTCAGTCCAGTCACTTCAAGGATGCCATCCATCCATCTTGCCCTTGGTCAGCCCCTCTTCCTTTTGCCTTCCACTTTCCCCAGCATAACAGGTAAAAACAATCAATTATAACTCACAATCAATAAAATCAATCTCATGCTCAACGTTCGCCAACTCAGAGTCCATAAATTCATTCCACCTTGCCCATTCCTATCAGTCGTTGTTGTTCTTTATTTATCTGCCAGATTACCCAAACGCCTGGTCCCAAATCCATGTTTTTAATTTCCTTCTAAAGGAAAGGAGGGATGTCGATGATCTAATTTCCCCGGGGAGTGAATTCCACAGGTGAGGGGCCACCACCAAGGCCCTGCTCCTCGTCCCCGCCAGTCTGTGATAGAGGTCGGGCCGAGAGCAGGGCCTCCCCAGAAGATCTTAAACTCCGAGGAGGGACGTAGAGGGAGATGCATATATCATATATCATATATATATATTATTTCCAGTATTTCTACCCCATTCCGTCCTGAGTCCCCCTTTGAAGGTTGAGAAGGAACGGGGTAGAAATACCGGAAATAATAATAATAATAATAATAATAATAATAATAATATTATAATAACACTTTATTTGTACCCCGCTACTATCTCCCCAAGGAACTCGGTGTGGCTCACATGAGGCCGAGCCCAAACACAACTCAAGCAATAATAACAACAATACAAGCAATTAAAAATACATTGACAATAAGAAACAACATTAACGATAGGACAACACATAATTAAAAACAGTGGGAAGGCCAAATGTTAGGTTAAAATTGAAAATAATGCTGGGACATGAACGGAAGGTGATACTGGTGTTTGTGGAAGGGTAGATGAGCAGACTCAAAGAAAGTGCTTTGGAGGACAAAGTGCAATGGGATCATTATTCCAGGAAGGCACACTGGAACAGCCATGTCTTCAAGTTCCTCTTGAAGACTGCCAAAGTTGGAGCCTATTTGATGTCTTTAGAGAGTGAGTTCCAGAGTCGAGGGGCCACCACCGAAAAGGCCCTCTCTCTCATCCCCACCAATCGCACCTGTGATGCTGGTGGGATCGAGAGCAGGGCCTCCCCAGATGATCGAAGGGAGCGTGTGGGTTCGTATACAGAGGTGCGATCACACAGGTAGGCGGGTCCCAAACCGTTCAGGGCTTTGTAGGTAAGAACCTGCACCTTGAATTGGGTCCAGTAGATGAATGGCAGCCAGTGGAGCTTCCTGAACAGGAGGGATGACCGCTCCCTGTAAGGAGCCCCAGTTAACAACCTGGCTGCTGCTCGTTGGATCATCTGAAATTTCTGGGCCTTTTTCAAGGGCAGCCCCACGTAGAGTGCATTGCAGTAATCCAGTCTAGAGGTACGGTCGCAGTTGACACATTATTATTATTATTGTTATTATTGTTATTATTATTATTAATATTAATATTCCCATGTATGGTTTCAACAATGTGAGCTAGTTAGTACAGGCTAGTTAGTACAGGCTAGTTAGTACAGGCAGAAGCAAAGCACAACATCAGGGAACACTTACTTTGGAGGACTTTTTGGTGCCATCAAAAGCTCCTGATGCCCTTGTGCCAAAAAATAAAACCATGACATGTTTAGGTTTTTGCCATTCCTGACAACCACAGTTTGGAGATTTTGGGCAGGCCAGAGCTCCAAAAGCTCCAAAATCAATAAAAGAAGCAGGATTCCAGTCATTCTAGTTTTTGGTTTTCCCTAGACTGCAATTTTATGTGTTTCTTTTAACCAAAAAGATATACCAAGTGTCACAGTTTCACAGGGACAATTTAAATGAGAATGTCCTCCATTTTTTTTCAACTGCTTTTAAAATTTATTTATTTATCGTGTCAGGGGCAACCAAACCGTTGTATTACATTTCTGACAGAACAAAACAAACAAACAGATTAAAAAAACCCACAAAGTTTGCAAACTTGGTAGTTGATTAAATGTCCTTTGACCAGTATCTGTCCACTTGGAGTGCCTCCGATGTTGCCGCAAGGAGGACCTCCATTGTGCATGTGGCAGGGCTCAGGTTGCATCGCAACAGGTGGTCAGTGGTTTGCTCTTCTCCGCACTCGCATGTCGTGGACTCCACTTTGTGACCCCATTTCTTGAGGTTGGCTCTGCATCTCGTGGTGCCAGAGCGCAGTCTGTTCAATGCCTTCCAAGTCACCCAGTCTTCTGTGTGCCCAGGAGGGAGCCTCTCATTTGGTATCCGCCATTGGTTGAGGTTCTGGGTTTGAGCCTGCCACTTTTGGACTCTTGCTTGCTGAGGTGTTCCAGCGAGTGTCTCTGTAGATCTTAGAAAACTATTTCTTGATTTAAGTCGTTGACGTGCTGGCTGATACCCAAACAAGGGATGAGCTGGAGATATCTCTGCTTTTAAAATGTCCCAGTTGCTCTCTCCTCCTCCAACTTTTGTACTCTTCTCATTAGAATTGGTGCAAACCGAGTTCAAAGTGCAAATATATTTGCTTGTTCACTTCCTTTGCCATTAGGTTCAGGCAAAAGCAACCTGCTGCAGCCTCCTTGCTTGCTTTTTCCCTATGTTTTTACTGTCTTGACGTCTAGTTCCCCCCCCCCCCCTTCTTCTCCGTTGAGAGCGAGAAGGACAAGAAGAAGGGCAAAACCAGAGGAGTTAATTCCTTCCTTCTCCGGTTTTGCCCTTTTTCTTGTCCTTTTTGCTCGCTAGGGAAAAGAAGAAGGGGATAACTGGAGGAGTTTATTTCTTCCTTCTCTGGTTTTGCCCTTCTTCTTGTCCCTCTTGCTCACAAGGGAGAAGAAGAAGTGGGGGAACTGGAGGAGTTCGTTCCTTCCTTCTCCGGTTTCCCCCCCTCTTCTTCTTCCTTGCAAGCCAAACAAGAGGGACAAGAAGGAGAGCAAAACTGAAGAAGGAAGGAATAAAATAATCTTGGGAGAAATCCGAACATTATGGAATATTTCCAGAAAAAAAGGCAAGTGGTCCAATTTCAGATTTGCCCCTCCCACCTTTCTTGCATGGTTCAAAACCGCTTCGGAAGGCAAAAGTCAGAAGTTTTTTACGACTTTTAGGTTCTTCCGAATGAACCTGTCCAACCCCGCTTGGTAGTGTTGACCTCCAGGCCTGGAAACACCTACGGCCACTAAACCACACAAGAGTCCATGAATATAAACAAACGGTTTATATATATATATATATATATATATATATATATATATATATATATATATCATATGAAAGGAATAAAAAAGAAAGATATATAATCCAAAAAGGTTTAGCAAAAGATGAGAACCAAAAAATAATTCAAATATCTCAAAAAGTTCCAAAGGTGACAAAGTCCAGGAACAGCCAGGAATCACAGATACAGCATAAGTCCACAATCAGCACAACTAGTAAGGCCTGAACAGGAGTACATGAACAGAAACATAGACAACTTCCAGGATATGTTAAATCCAAAATCAAAGCTTGACTGGAACCAGGAACAAAAGAGCTCAGGCTTAGCTGCTCACTCTAACACAGTGTTGCCTGAACTGACCTTCAGGTAGGCAACTTGTTGCTTAATAGACAGTTAGACGCCCATGAAAGCATTCTGTTCCCATGAATTTCTTTCACAACTTCCCCACATAATCTTTCTGAATTATGCAATCTTTTTTCGGCTCTGATTTGTAAATATACCTGCAGCTGGGTTCCCATGGGAACCCTCCTTATCACTCAGCTCTTCACTCAACTCCTTATCTGCTGTTGCTACTTCTGACTCCCCTGAATGCCCTTGAAGCCCTGCACTTTCCGAGGTGGTTTTCTTACAGAGAGAACCATCATTTTCCAGATTTGAAGGCTATAGGAAAGCTCACAATCCTCTCTGAGTTGTCCACAGGAAAACTCACAATCCTCTCTAAATAATCAGTTATACCATCAGCCTCTGGTAACTGATCTACAATATGTGGCACATTTTTCAACATAAATTGTTTAGAAGACCACCTACCAGGCAATATCTATTTGAGTTGCCTTGTTGTTGTTGTTCATTCGTTCAGTCGTCTCCAACTTTTCGTGACCTCATGGACCAGCCCACGCCAGAGCTCCCTGTCGGCCGTCACCACCCCCAGCTCCTTCAAGGTCAGTCCAGTCACTTCAAGGATGCCATCCATCCATCTTGCCCTTGGTCGGCCCCTCTTCCTTTTACCTTCCACTTTCCCCAGCATAATTGTCTTCTCTAGGCTTTGCTGTCTCCTCATGATGTGGCCAAAGTACTTCAACTTTGTCTCTAGTATCTTTCCCTCCAGTGAGCAGTCGGGCTTTATTTCCTGGAGGATGGACTGGTTGGATCCTCTCGCAGTCCAAGGCACTCTCAGAACTTTCCTCCAACACCACAGCTCAAAAGCATCGATCTTCCTTCGCTCAGCCTTCCCTAAGGTCCAGCTCTCACATCCGTAGGTTACTACAGGGAAGACCATGGCTTTGACTAGGCAATGGATCTTTGTTGCCAGTGTGATGTCTCTACTCTTTACTATTTTATCGAGATTGGACATTGCTCTCCTCCCAAGAAGTTGCCTTTGCATACGGCAAAAAGAAACAACATGACTTTCATCTCCCAAATTTGCTGAAATCAATGGGTTGTACATTGTAAGATTTTCCTTGAATCTCTTTCCCTGGAGTTTAATTAAAAGGCAATGCACCCCATGCATGTAATGCCTTTGTAAAGTCATCCAGTTTTTTTAAAAATGTAAACATTATAATGTTATAGCCATTCTCAACAATCCCAGTCCTGAAAATCTGCATGTTTAAAAAAATGGCCAATGAATGATGACAAAACACCCTCCAGATGTTTTGGACTTCAACTCCCACAATTCCTAATAGCCTACCGACTGTTAGGAATTGTAGGAGTTGAAGTCCAATACACCAGGAGGGAGGGCCCAAGTTTGCCCATGCCTGTTGTAGACCATATTCATAGAATCATAGAATGAAAGAGTTGGAAGAGATCTCATGGGCCATCCAGTCCAACCCCATTCTGCCAAGAAGCAGGAATATTGCATTCAAATCACCCCTGACAGATGGCCATCCAGCCTCTGCTTTAAAAGCTTCCAAAGAAGGAGCCTCCACCACACTCCGGGGCAGAGAGTTCCACTGCTGAACGGCTCTCACAGTCAGGAAGTTCTTCCTCATGTTCAGATGGAATCTCCTTTCTTGTAGTTTGAAGCCATTGTTCCTCGTCCTAGTCTCCAGGGAAGCAGAAAACAAGCTTGCTCCCTCCTCCCTGTGGCTTCCTCTCACATATTTATACATGGCTATCATATCTCCTCTCATGCCCAGCTCCTTAAGACGCTCCTCATGGCTTGTTCTCCAGACCCTTGATCATTTTAGTCGCCCTCCTCTGGACACATTCCAGCTTGTCAATATCTCTCTTGAATTGTGGTGCCCAGAATTGGACACAATATTCCAGGTGTGGTCTAACCAAAGCGGAATAGAGCATGGGGAGCATGACTTCCCTGGATCTAGACACTAAACTCCTATTGATGCAGGCCAAAATCCCATTGGCTTTTTTTGCCGCCACATCACATTGTTGGCTCATGTTTAACTTGTTGTCCACAAGGACTCCAAGATCTTTTTCACACGTACTGCTTTTGAGCCAGGCGTGCCCCATTCTGTATCTTTGGGACTTCAACTCCCACAATTCTTAACAGCCTACTGTCTGTTAGGAATTGTAGGAGTTGAAGTCCAAAACACCAGGAGGGAGGGCCCAAGTTTGCCCATGCGTGTTGTAGACTATACTCATTCTCAGGCACTTTCTCCCAGATCTATTGAACATGACAAACTTTGTCATTTGGTTGCATATCGGTCTGAAAAGAGAGTGGAAGCGATTATGACTTGCTGATGGTGTGACAAAACCATCAATACTTCCAAGAGGGAAGAGAACCTTCTCTCTCAGTGAAAGGGTTGCAATGTCATCAATCCCATTGATAAAACACCTCTATAGATGTTTATTGAGAAAAAGCCCAGTTGAGTTTATTTATTTATTTACAGTATTTATATTCCACCCTTCCCACCCCACAGGGGACTCAGGATGGATCGCAATGCACATATACATGGCAAACATTCAATGCCATAGACGCACAACATATATAGACAGCACACAGAGGCTATTTAACTTTCCAGCTTCATGAAGGTATGCTTTGAATTCTGACCACCGGGGGAGCTGTTGCTTCACCGTCAACTTGAGACACCGATAGAGTACTTTCTCATTCTTTTGCACGCTGCTGGGGAGTTTTATGGCATCGTAAATTAGTTAAATTAGACACACATATATAGACAGAACACAGAGGCTATTTAACTTTCCAGCTTCATGAAAGTATGCTTTGAATTCCGACCACCGGGGGAGCTGTTGCTTCACCGTCCACTTGAGACACCGATGGAGTACTTTCTGATTCTTTTGCACGCTGCTGGAAAGTTTTATGGCATCGTAAATTAGCCTCCCTGCATAAGCAGTACCTAAATTTCCTACTTGACAGATGCAACTGTCTTTAGGGCTGTAAAATTTGACAGCAAGCTAGACAAGTGGTCAGGAGCCTACTCCGACCCAGTCAGTAGTGATTTTAATGCAGCTGACTCCCAACCAGCTTCGCCACAACCCGGTTTTATTTATTTATTTATGACATTTATATGCCGCCCTTCTCACCCCAAAGGGGACTCAGAGTGGCACACACACACACACACACACACACACACATACATACATACAATATATTATATTATTAGCATTTTACAATATCAGTATTATATATATATTTGGCCACATCATGAGAAGACAGGAAAGCTTAGAGAAGACAATCGTGCTGGGGGAAATGGAAGGAAAAAGGAAGGGGGGCCGACTAAGGGCAAGGTGGATGGATGGTATCTTTGAAGTGACTGGATTGACCTTGAAGGAGCTGGGAGTGGTGACGGCCGACAGGGAGCTCTGGAATGGGCTGGTTGAGGAGGTCACAAAGAGTCGGAAGTGACTGAACAAATGGACAGCAACAACAACAATACGCACACACACACACACACATACAATTATATTGTAATATTAGTTTTCTCTGGTAAGGGGATGTAGGGTCGCAGTTTTAATTACCTTCCCATTTTCCCCACGCAAAATGAAAATTTTACAGTTTGTGGAATGATGTTTCATTATTATTATTATTATTATTATTATTATTAAGTATATTAATATGAGCCTGAGTAAACCTATTGCAAGCCCTGACAATTCAAGCCAGAGGACCTACCCTGAATCCTACTAACGCACCCATTGGATCCATTAGCTTCCACATTATATTTGTGTGTGTGGAAGGGAAGTCTTATCTTTATTTACTTCTGGTTCTCTATGACCACTGGCTGTTTTAATATTCTGCTTGTCCCTTAGAGGTACATCTTAATTTTCTCCTTATTTCACTAGGAAACTTCTTGAAGGTGAAGAGACAAGATTCAGTGCCTTCTCCGGCAGCATTACTGGGCCAACATTCACACATAGGCAACCTTCCGTCACAATATCAAGTAGCAAAATCCAGAAATCCAAAGCTGAACCGCCAAAGCTCAAGGTCCAACATAAATTTGTAGAAGAAATCATTGAAGAAACCAAAGTTGAGGACGAGAAGTCTGAACTGGATGAGGCCCTGGCAGCCATGGCCGAAGAGCTGGCGAGTGGAACTATGCCCGAGGAAGAGGAAGAGGGAGGAGAAGCGGTGGAAGAGGAAATAGTCGCAGAGGAAAAGGCTGAGGTTGAAGCAGCAGCCCCAGAAGCTGAGGAAGAAGGAGGAGAGGAAGAAGAGGAGGAGGAAGAAGCAGAAGGAGATGCAAAATCCGATGAGGCAGAAGAAGGTGGCTCTGAAAAAGAAGAAGAAAAGAGTGAAAAGGAGGAGGGCGAGGAAGAGGAGGAGGCTGTTGAGGAAGAAGGCGAGGGAGAGGAAGCAGAGGGCAAGGAAGGAGAGGAGGCTGCCGAAGAAGGGGAAGAAGAGGTTGAGGAAACCATCGCAGCCACAAAAGTAGAAAAGGCCAAAGCATCTCCACCCAAGTCTCCTGTGGGAGATGATAAGGAGAGTAAAAGCGGTGACCAGAAAGGAGAGGAAGCGGAGGAAGAAGAGAAAGAAGGCTCACCAGCAAAGGAAGGCTCTCCAGAGAAAGCAGGGACACCAGAAAAGGGGAGTACTCCAGACAAAGCTGGGACTCCAGAAAAGTCAGATTCTCCAAAGAAGGCTGGAACACCAGAAAAGGGATCTCCTGAAAAGCCAGGAACTCCAGAGAAAGGGTCTCCTGAGAAGGCAGGGACTCCAGAGAAGGCAGGGACGCCCGAAAAAGCAGGAACCCCAGAGAAGGTGGCTTCTCCAGAAAAAGGAGGGACTCCAGAGAAGGCAGGGACTCCAGAGAAAGCATCTTCTCCAGTGAAAGCGGGGACTCCAGAGAAAGCAGCTTCCCCAGTGAAGGCAGGGACTCCAGAGAAAGCAGCTTCTCCAGTAAAAGCAGGGACTCCAGAAAAGGCAGGGACTCCAGTAAAAGCAGGGACTCCAGAAAAGGCAGGGACTCCAGAGAAGGCATCTTCTCCAGTGAAAGCAGGGACTCCAGAGAAGGCATCTTCTCCAGTAAAGGCAGGGACTCCAGTCAAGGCAGGGACTCCAGAGAAAGCAGCTTCTCCAGAAAAGGCAGGGACTCCAGAGAAAGCGGCTTCTCCAGAAAAGGCAGGGACTCCAGAGAAAGCGGCTTCTCCAGTGAAAGCAACTGCAGAGAAAGCAGCTTCTCCGGTGAAGGCAGGGACTCCGGAGAAAGCGGCTTCTCCAGAAAAGGCAGGGACTCCAGTGAAAGAAGAGATGATCTCAGTCACCAAGGTAGAAAAAGTTAGTGTAGAGAAAGAATCCAAGGGGGAAAAGAAAGAAACGAGCGAGAAAGCCTCCAAGGAATCAACCAAAGAAGACATTGCTGTGAATGGGGAGGTGGAAGATAAAGGAGAGGAGGCCAAGCAAGTTGAGGAGGAAGACAAAGGGGTGTTCACCAATGGCCTGGATGTGAGCCCCGTTGAAGAGAAGAAAGGGAAGAGCGAGGAGAAAGTCGTCGTAACCAAAAAAGTAGAGAAAATCACGAGCGAAGAGGGTGACGGGACCACGACATTTATTACAAAGTCTGTGACGGTCACGCAGAAGACGGAAGAGCATGAGGAGAATGTTGCCGAGAAGTTGGTGTCCACCAAGAAGGTAGAGAAGGTCACTTCTTCACACGCCGTTATGAAAGAAGTGAAGGATAGCAATTAAGATAACCTTTTCCCCCTTCCCCCTCTAAAGAGCTTAGGTCCGTGCAAAAGGTTAAGCCATATGACAGCTGCAAAATGCATGTAAGTGACGGCTTCTCAACAGAACGGGTTCTCTCGTGGCGTCTCCAGAAACACTCGACTTTCTTTTTTTTCGTTTCTTTTTGTGCACTACCCAGGGATCGGGAGAGGAATGCATGCAAGTCCGACGTGCTCCCTCTGCAGAACTTGGGGAATTCCCAAAATTAAAAAAAAAATGCATGAGCTGTTATTCTTACAGAGGAACTTGCCGAATTTCCTAATCTGCTGATGGGACACTTCTGAGGAACATCTTGAGATGTATTATGCAAAGAGTCAACTGAGCCAAATACAAACCAACCATAACAAAAGGATGAATGACAATGATAATAATACCCCTCAAACTCTCCCAGCCTTAAGCTATTTAATAATTATGTTTACCTCACTGGTGCAATTAAAGATGGATGTCTGTCCATGGGAGAACCTACCTTGACATGCACAGTACGCAACGTTTTGTTGTTTGATGTAAAGCAGTCACAGCTGTTCATGCTCAATAAAGGTCATATTGGAAACGTGCCTGCTTTCCGTTTGAGTTTCTCTCTCCTGACTCTGAGGTTCTATCAATTACTAGCTGTACCCGCCAGACTTTGCTGTGGCCAACCTTCCCTCCTTCTTTCTCTCCTTCTTTCCCTCCTTCCTTTTCTCCCTCTTTCCTTCCTTCTCTTTTCTTCTTTCTTTCTCTCCTTCCTTCCTTCTCTACCTCTTTCCTTCCTTCTCTCTTCTTCTTTTCCTTCACTTTCTCTCCTTTCTTCTCTACCTCTTTTGTTCCTTCCTTCACTCCTTCCTTCCTTCCTTCCTTCCTTCCTTCTTTCCTTCTCTCTTTCCTTCCTTCTCTACCTCTTTCCTTCCTTCTCTTTTTCTTTTCCTTCGCTTTCTCTCCTTTCTTCTCTACCTCTTTTGTTCCTTCCTTTGCTACCTCCTTCCTTCCTTCCTTCCTTCCTTCCTTCCTTCCTTCCTTCCTTCCTTCCTTCCTTCCTTCCTCCCTCCCTCCCTCCCTCCCTCCCTTCCTCCCTTCCTTCCTTCCTTCCTTCCTTCCTTCCTTCCTTCCTCCTTCTTTCTCTACCTCTTTCCTTCCTTCTCCCTTTTTCTTTTCATTCTTCTTTCTCTCTTACCTCCTTCTCTACCTCTTTAGTTCCTTCCTTCACTCCCTCTTTCCTTCCTTCCTTCCTTCCTTCCTTCCTTCCTTTCCGTGTCTTCTTTCCTTCTCTCTTTCCTTCTTTCTCTACCTCTTTCTTTTCTTCTCCCTTTTTCTTTTCATTCTTCTTTCTCTCCTACCTCCATCTCTACCTCTTTCCTTCCTTCCTTCCTTCCTTCCCTCCCTTTTCTTCTTTCCATCTCTCCTTCCTTCTTTCTCTACCTCTTTCCTTCCTTCTCCCTTTTTCTTTTCATTCTTCTTTCTCTCTTACCTTCCTTCTCTACCTCTTTCCTTCCTTCACTCCCTCTTTTCTTCCTTCTTTCCCTCCCTCCTTCCCTACCTTCCTTGAAACTGCAAGGCCATTAAATGCTAATTCAGGTGGCCAATTGCAACATTCCCACTTACCTCAAACAGACAAGAGTTCTTTCTCCCACCCTGGACATTCCACATATATATAAACCTCATTTTCCAAGTTTCCATCAGACCTCACAACCTCTAAGGATGCCTACCACAGATGCAGGCGAAAGGTCAGGAGAGAATGCTTCTGGAACATAGCCGTACAGCCCAGAAAATTCACAACAACCCAACAACTAAATATCTCAGTGTCACCTTAGATGGAACACTAACAGTTAGGAAACATTACATGAACATTAACAAGACCATCAGCCCTGGCCTTGTCTTACTCAACTGTTCAGTATGCCTGCCCTCCTTGGCATAAGTCTGTTCATGCAAAGCTGGTGAACATAGCACTGAATGAAACATGCAGAATAATCACAGGATGTCTCAAACCTACACCTGTTGGTAGACTCTACAAGCTAGCTGGCATTGCCCCAGAACCCAATGGGCGACGGGAAGTTGATGCTGAGACAAATAAGCTTGAACACTGAAAGCCACCCACTACATGGCTATCAGCCTCCTCCCAGTAGACTCAAATCAAATAAAAGCTTCATGAGAACCACCACACCTCTTAATCCTCTGGGCAGCTAAACCAGGGAATTCCAATTGGATGCCCCCCCCCCCTTGAGGGTCTTCCTCCAGGGGCAAACCAAGAATGGGCAACTTGGAAGTCTCTGAACAGACTAAGAGCGAAGTGGGCAGATCAAAAGACAACCTGGCGAAATGGCACGACCTAAAAGAATCCCACACCTTGTGTGACTGTGGAGCAGAACAGACAACTCTGCATCTATGCTTGCCCACTATGCCCTGCCCAGACGTTTTACCATTCTGTGGGAGGCGTCTCTGTGTATCCTGACATGGTAGTTGTTAGAGTGGTCCAGCATTTCTGTGTTCTCAAATTATCTGCTATGTCCAGAGAAGCCATTGAAATCCACAAGCATGTGGACAAGGAAGAAACCATGAAAATGAACAAAATCTGGCTACCAGTATTTACAAACTCTAAAATTATTACAGTAAATAGAGAACAAAACTCAAACAAAGGGGAACTCCAGAGAAGAAACAATCAGGAACACCTCATCACTAGGCATGATTAGGGACACCTAAAACAATCAGGAACACCTCATCACTAGGCATGGATAGAGCCGCATCGGATAACTTGTTGCTCGTAATAATTTCATTAAAATTACCTTTTTGAAGTGATTTCAAAGCATTTTTAAAAACCAGAAGTCCATTTGCCCTTCCAAAGCTTTTTCCGCCATTTTTGTTACGACTCAGGAAGTGAGTCGGAAATATTTTCTTCCCTCTAGCCTGCTGGGGGGCTCCTTGCCTCCCAGCCAATCGGGAGAAGCTTTGGGGAGGGAAGGAGAGGGGTTTCCGCACTGGCAGCCATTGCTGTATATCAGCGTTTCTCAACCTGGGGGTTGGGACCCCTGGGGGGGTCGCGAGGTGGTGTCAGAGGGGTCACCAAAGACCATCAGAAAACACAGTATGTTCTGTTGGTCATGGAGATTCTGTGTGGGAAGTTTGACTCATTCCTATTATTAATGGGGTTCAGAATGTTCTTTGATTATAGGTGAACTATAAATCTCAGCAACTATGACTGCTAAATGTCAATGTCTATTTTCCCCAAGCTCCACCAGTGTTCACATTTGGGTATATTGTGTATCCGTGCCAAGTTTGGCCCAGATCCATCATGGCTTGAGTCTACAGTGCTCTCTGGATGTAGGAGAACTACAACTCAAAAACTCTACGTCAATGCCCACCAAACTCTTCCATAATATTTTCTATTGGTCATGGGAGTACTGTGCACCAAGTTTGGTTCAATTCCATCATTGGTGAAGTTCAGAATGCTATAAATCCCAGCAACTACAACTCCCAAATGATGAAATAAATCCTCCCCCAACCCCACCAGTATTCAAATTTGAGCATATCGGGTATTTGTGTCAAATGTGGTCCAGTGAATGAAAATACATCCTGCATATCAGATATTTACAGAGGCGGCCCTAGGTAATTTTCAATGGTAAGCAAACAGTATTTTGGCACCACTCCCCCCCCCCCCAAACCAATCACTGATATATATTTTCTGTTTGTCGTGGGAGTGCCATATTTGGTGGAGTTCAGAATGCTCTATGATTGTAGGTGAACTATACATCCCAGTAACTACAACTCACATATGTCAACGTCTATTTTCCCCAAATTCCACCAGTGTTCATATTTGGGCATACTGAGTACTCATGCCAAGTTTGGTCCAGATCCATCATTGTTTGAGTCTACAGTGCTCTCTGGATGTAGGTGAACTATAACTCCAAAACTCATGTCAATGCCCCCAAGAGCCTTCAAGAGTGCCCCTGGGCAAAATCAACTATACTGCAAATGCTTACTTTGCGTAATGGGTTGAGCCGCCCCTGGATATTTACATGACGATTCATAACAGTAGCAAAATTACAGTTATGAAGTAGCAACGAAAATAATATTATGGGGGGGGGGGGTCACCACAACATGAGGACCTGCACTCAGGGGTCGTGGCATTAGGAAGGTTGAGAACCACTGCTGTATACAAAGGCGAGCACGTGGCTCAGAGGCTCATTCGGAGCAGGGAAGGATGAAGGGCAAAGGGAAAGACAAAAACTAAGGGAAGGGAGGTTGTGTTGAAAGAAGGTTGGAAGAAGGACAGCAGGCAAGCAAATAAGCAGAGGAGAAGGTCTGTTGCCTGCCGTTAACGAAGCGATTCGGAAATTTCAGAAAGTTCCGAATTTTTTTCGGAAACATCCAGAATCCAGAATTCCATTGCGAATCGAACCACCAGCACCCCCTACATCCGAAATGAGTTTTGAACCATTTTTTTAATTAACCAAGCCTACTAATCACCTCTCAACAAAGAATTTCCGCAGGCAGTAACAGGGCACACCTAAAAACTGCCAGGCCATCAAATACTAATAAAGGTGGTCAATTGAAACATTCACACCTACCTCCAACTGACAAGAGTTCTTTCTCCCACCCTGGACCTTCCACAGATATATAAACCCTTTTTCCAAGTTCCAACAGACCTCACAACCTCTGAGGATGCCTGCCATAGATGCAGGCGAAATGTCAGGAGAGAATGCTTCTGGAACATGGCCATATAGCCCCAAAAAACCTACAACAACCTACTATGTAAAGTGAGGGTGCTATATAAATAAATTGTGATGATGATATAATGAAGAAGAGGAGGAGGAGGAAGATGATGATACAGAATGGAGAAGAAAAAGGGGGTACACATTGTGATACATTGAATTTCTAAAATTTCTGAGGACTTTTCTGTATGCAATTATTTATTAGGGTGCTGATGGCGCAGTGGGTTAAACCACTAATTTATTTATTTTATTTCTGGTATTTCTACCCTGTCTCTTCTCTACCCCCAAAGGGGGACTCAGGGCTTCTTACATTTGGCAGCAATTCGATGCCGTTACATATTAACAATTAAAATACACTAATCTAGCATTTCTCAACCTGGGGGTCGGGACCCCTGGGTGGGTTGTGAGGGGGTGTCAGAGGGGTCACCAAAGACCACCAGAAAACACAGTATTTTCTGTTGGTCATGGGGGTTCTCTGTGGGAATTTTGGTCCACTTCTGTCGTTGGTGGGGTTCAAAATGCTCTTTCATTGTAGGTGAACTATAAATCCCAGCAACGACAACTCCCAAATGTCAAGGTCTATTTCCCCCAAACTCCACCAGTGTTCACATTTGGGCATATTGAGTATTTGTGCCAAGTTTGGTCCAGATCCATCATTGTTTGAGTCCACAGTGCTCTCTGGATGTAGGTGAACTACAACTCCAAAACTCAAGATCAACGCCCACCAAACCCTTCCAGTATTTTCTGTTGGTCATGGGAGTTCTGTGTGCCAAGTTTGGTTCAATGCCATCATTGGTGGAATTCAGAATGCTCCTTGATTCTAGGTAAACTATAAATCCCAGCAACTACAACTCCCAAATGACAAAATCAAC